GCGCCTGGTTCAGATGTTCACACTCATACCCACATTCATCTTCCTGAATAAAGCTTTTTGGTGGGAAATGGGCACAAGAACAAGACACCGTGGGTAAACTAGGGTGGGAAGCGACAGCTCTTGTAAGCTCAGTGCTTCATTAGTACCCAAGTGAGCTCGAGCAGCAGAAAACAAGCCTGAACACAACTGCTCCCCTCCGTGCCATCAGCTTGGCTGGCACTGTGCAGAGTGCTTTTCAACTTCTGCACCACTGGCACTGCTTCTCTGTTACTTCAGACAGTGATCCCTCTTCCTCCCAGACAGGGCCATTAGTATTTCAGTTATGCATTCCCATCATGAACCTTTCTCAATTCCTTGCTGACTTCTTTTTTTCCAAACAGTTTTGTTGTTGGCTTTGCAAAACCTCTGATAAAAGAAACCGAATATTTTGGGTCTCTTGGCAATTTTTTTCCAAAAGCATTAACATAGGTCCACTTGTCTTACTCAAATCTGAAAACCTAGCAACAACAACACTGCCTCAAACAGGCAGATCTTGCCAGTTTTCAGCGCTCTCTGCTGTACTGCTGCCACCTGTTAATTTTGTGCAGAGTTGTGTTAGTGGAAGCACGAGAGAAGCCTGAAGCTTCCACCATTCACCAGGGCCACCACAGTTCCAAGAGAGATGCTCGGACCCCCGCTGTCTGGATGTCCTGCCCCCTCATCTGTGCCACTGGGATTTCAGCTCAAGGGCCCCACTGGCTCTGGCTGTGGAGTTTGCCCAGAGGGGAGAAAAGGAGTTTGGGTAATGTTCACAACAGTGCATGCATGTATGGAACATAAAACATGCCCTGTGTTATAACAGTATTTTAGAGAGAGCACAGCATGGCTCCTATCATAATGTAATTCTTACCCTTAATGTAATTATCCCGATTTCAACCAAACAAAAACACTAGGCTCAAAACCAAAGAAAGAAAACTACACATGTCCCCTGCAAGCTGACATGTGAGGTCATTATAATATAAACCAGAATAGAACAAATAGTCATATGGCACTGATGTGCACCCTATCATATAGAAATCCCATCTAATATATACCTTACAATTTCTATACTTCTACACATTATAGTCCCACCTGACAGGACTAAGAGATCTGTACATTAGCTGGCTTGCAGAGTTATGAAGCTGTGTCAGAAAATTATTGGAATGTAATGCATCATCTTTATTTACTTTGTGAGATAGCACTGCTTTTTGAATCGCAGAATGGCTTAGGTTGGAGCTTAAGACCTTAAGACCAACCAGCTCCAAGCCCTCTGCCATGGACAGGGCTGCAACCCAGCAGCTCAGGCTGCTTAGGGTCCCATCCAACCTAGCCTTGAACACGTCCAGGAATGGGGCACCCACAGATTCTCTGCATAGCAGCAGCGCCGGTGCCTCACTGCCCTCTGAGAAAAGAATTTCTTCCTAACATCTAACCTAAATCTCCCCTCTTTCAGTTTAAAGCCATTCCCCCTTGTCTTATCACTATCAGACTGTAAAAAAAACAGTCCCCCTCCTGCTTATAAGCTCTCTTCAAGTACTGGAAGGCCACAGCGAAGTCTCCCCAGAGACTTCTCCAAACTAACCAAGCTCAGCTCCCTCAATCTTTCTTCATAAGAGAGGCGTTCCAGCCCTCTGAGCACCTTGTGGCCTTCCTCTGGACCCGCTCCAACAGCTCCGTGCCTTTCACGTGTTGGGTACCCCAGATCTGGACGCAGGACTCCAGATGGGGCCTCACAAGGGCAGAGCAGAACGGGACAATCCCCTCACTCTCCCTTATATTCACTTCTCTTTTCATGCATCTCAGGATACTCTTGGCCTTCTGGGACTGCAAGCACACACTGCTGCTGGTTCATGTCCAGCTTTTCATCTACCAGAATAAGTATTTCTCTGATTAACTTAACCTGTGCTGTATGCCTGGGTGAAAACATGATTTTTTCAATAGCCTGTTCACTTCGTTCATCCCAGACTTCACTTTGACTTTGTTGTACACTGTCAATAGCCTGTAACCATCACAGAGGCGACCTATCCCTCACCTGACAGACTCAACCAGCAAATACTGCGGGATCGCTCATTTTGCTTGTCAGCTCTCAATTGTGCTGTCTCAGAAAAAGAAACCCTAGGGGTGGGGCAGGGTATTATAAAGTATTTTGAATATATTTTGAAAGCCAAATGCCAACACAAATGCCACTGTGCTCCAGTCTCTTGATTTCTGATGGTACTGGCCCACTGCCACAGCCTCTGAGCACATCTACAGTTTTCTATTCTTCTTATTTCTATGGATTAACTCTTCCTGAATGGGTTTCCTGGGCTGAGTTGCATCACTCCATGTGTTGCAAGGTCGAATTGAACTGCCTACAGGTGGCAACTTAGTCTGGACTCTTGCCTCATTCAGTCCCCTGCGTTTGCTGAGGCTGCAGTCAGACCCTGGATAATGCCAGCCACTGCACCACACTGCAGGTAGAGCTGCATGCTGAGGTTTCCTCGTCATTTTGGGCTGTTCTAGAAGTTATTCTGCATGGCCAGAGCTGAGGTGTGGGAAAGCATTATCACCAATGCTCCCCTATGGTGGTGCAGCCTGTCCCGCCTGGATGCTCCCTGCCTGGATGCCCAGACTCCTCTGTATCTGTGCCCCCTAGGCTAGTACCTCCACACCATGACCTTTGGTGAGCAGCATGTTGTCTGCTCTAAAGAGGAAGAAAGAAACCCCAAACACCTTGCTCCTTAGCGAACCATGGCTGTGCCTGGAGCCAGCCAGCACCTTTCAGCCCACATAGCCTGGAGTCATTCTGAGCCACATACAAGGTGCTGCAGGGAAGCTTGGAATTGCTCTAACTCTGTTCCCACCTCACTCATGGCAGAACACGCCTCTGAGCACCCTGCCATACAGCAGTAACACAAGCCTTCCTGCCTGCGTCACCCAGCAGAGGTGAGAGGCCCTTGGTCACAGCTAGAGCTCATGTTTTACACATGAGAACAGTCAAACAGGGTTAATTAAGTGGGAAGGGTTTACATTTGTTGGTTTTTCTTTGTTCAATTATACTTTCACCAGGACTGGGGCTTGTGTTTGCAGCAGCCAGGTAAGCATAGTAATGTGATTTAACCTCAAGAAATAGATCAATTTGCTGACAAATAGATGGAGTTACACTAATTATTATTATAGTAAATAAGTAATGCATTACTCATATGAAAGATCAAACTAAAGCTGTTCTAGATAAGCTAAATTAGCCCTCCAGACACGTAGCATTTAATAAAAAATTAACGGATCTTAGCTCCCTGCAGGGCAGACCCTTCTGCCTTCAGGGCCTTGCTTTCACTCCCCTCACCCCAGCACAGACTGTGCCCTCTGCTCTCCTCACCCAGGCTGGGGCCTGGTGCTGGCTGGCCTAAGGCAGCAGTGGGAGGAAATGGAGGCTGCCAGACATGGTGGGGTGACACAGGGTGACCGTGTCCCAGCCTCCCATTGTAAGGCTGGTGACAGCCTTGTGCAAAGCACATGAGCACCTAGCAGCAGGGGCTGAACCCTGCCAGCCCAGGAAGCTGCCCACATTCAGATATTTATGCAATAATTGAGCAATGCTTTCAGGATTACAGATCGAGCTACAGGTAAGTAAATATCAGTTACACCATTTCCTTCCCACAAGAAAAACAATGCTGCAGCATCCACAAGTGGCATGCTGAGAGCTTCTCTCATGAGCACAGAGCTCCCTGCTGCAGAGCAGCTCTTCTGCTCTCCTCACTCTGCAGTTTCAGTTTTCCTGTGTTAAGTTGCTTCGGGTGAGGGCAAAGCCTATATGAGAGAACAAGCATTTGGGGAGTGGCTTTCCCCTTATTTTGAATCACAGGCTGGCTCAGCATGCATACCTGCTTTCCTGTGTGCTCCTCTTCCTCTTGTGCCCAGCAGGACATACAGCTGCACCACCATAAAGCAAAGCCCCTAGCCTCCTGCTGCTGGGTGTGAGCATCATGACCCTTTCTGTCCCTTACTCTGTGATTTTGTTATTCTAATTGGCAATTCCGAGAATGCTTTGCAGAGCACCAGAAAAGAGTGTGCACCTGTGAGTCACAGCTGCCTTTGAGGGACCTTGCTACCTCTGGCAGTGCTCTTTGTTTCTCTGCCCTTGTGGAGATCAAACACCCACTGCAATGGAAATCCTGTGCTCTCAGCAAGGCAGTGTCTTATATGTAGAGCTAATAAGTGAGAGAGGCTAATACCTCTCTTTCATGCTACAGCAAGTCTCTCCCGCTATACCTCCAGCAGCTGCCATCATTATGCACTTCAGTGAATGCCGGAATTCTGATTTCAAGCAGCCCAATCTCTGCAGTTTGTGCTGGCTTCTCTTGAATCCAGGGCTGCTCTCCCTTTCAGTGAATAAACCAGCACTTTTAGGTTAATACAGATTGATGCATTTTAAAATCTTCCTTCAACCATGAGTTCTGCTCTGAAACATGCCACTAGACCCACCTTGCCACAGCCCTCCTGCCTGGACCTGCAGTCACACATCAGGTCTCACCAGTTTGTGCCCATCATGTTTCCGTCATTACATACTCAAAGACATCAGGAGAAGGTTTTCATGCTCTGCTGTGTGCAGGGTACGCAGCAAACAACAAATGCCAGCTGAGCTCCACATGACTTTCACATTCCTTTATAAAAGCTCATTTTTTTCGAATTTCCCCTCACATGCAACCTCTTAAACACAAGGACATTCTTAAAAAGTGAATAACCTCTATTTACTTAATATTCTATTTGCTTCAGAAGCAAAAGTCTCTATTCTTTCAACCCTGATAGACAGACAGCTGGCCTATCCATACCACTGCCTTCAGAAATAACAAGTTGTCATTATTTCCTTCATTGATGCCATTACTAAGGCCCTCACCATCTGGGGATGCCTCCTGTATTTTAATGGCATGCTTGCACGGAAAGAGCTCCCCAGCTTAGCAGGACCGACATCTAAACGACACAAATAAAACTGACAGAACAAAAACTTGTTCAAATACTTTTTTTATTAGTTAAAATAAAAAATAAACTCCACAATACCTAGAGACCCCAAGTGCCAGTGGTGGTGGACATGAGCCATGGATCAGTGAGCCCACTAAAACAAACCGGAGCACCAGAACACGCAAAGCTGGGGGTCACGAAGCCACGAAGGATGTGGGGGGGGTTGGGGGGGGAACCCCCAGTACAGTGTCACCCTCTCCTTACAACCAGGAGCTGACTTACATTGTATATTAAGGTTAATGAGGCAAGTGAAAGACTACAGTGCTGAGCGCAGGCTGTTCCTGCAGCTAGTATTTTCATGTATGCTCTTGGGATTCCAACTTTTGAGATAGAAGTTGATTAATTGCCTTCATTTTCACCCTGTAAGAAAAGTAAGACAGGAAAACAGTTGAACATTTTGACAAACAAAACATGTATAAGCAAAACTAGGAGCATAATTCACACTGGTAGTCTTCAGGCTGAGCCAGTAAAAGACAGAGCACTAGGAGAGTGTCTGTCCATTTGGGCAATGAGAGCTCCACTGCCCTTGTTCACGGACTGAGATGGGACCCAAAGCTGGCATTTGGCTTTAAGAGGGCATTGTAGCAACAGTAGATTAAAAAATAAAATAAGATAAAGGAAATAGCTTAAAATTTTGCAGAATCTAACTTGTCTTCTAAAGTCTGGTTGAGAACAGGCAAAAGCTAGTCCATGTGATTGAGCAAACCAAAGGAAAATATTAGTTATTATGTGTGTGTTCGTGTTCCAAAATAAGCCAAAATGAAGCAGCAATCTCAAAAGTCTACCACTCATGGCAACCTCCTGGCCCTGATAAAGGAAGCAGCAAAACATGGAGAACCTCTGAGCTTTGCCAAACAACTGATGAGAACGGGAATGCCGACGGGCTTCACGTGCAGCAAGCCTACGGTCACCACTGCACAGAGGGAAAGCCAGCCCCACAGAACAGCTACGTGCAGGCTGGAGGTGGGGATGGCAGGGAGCAGAGCTCAGCACGGCCTTACCTCTCCACCGCCTTCTGTGCTCCCTGGTGCAGCTGGCTCTCCCTCAGCCGCCGGCTGCTGCGGAGCCAGGTCCTCCTGCAAGGCACAAGGGAGATGTTGGCCTCGGCTGCCATCACCCGCCTGGGACAGGCTGAGCAGGCCACACAAAGCAACCCCAGCATTACACAAACAAACAGAACGCCACATTTAGCATCTGGTCAATCTTGTTCTTTTTCTGGCATTTTCTTTTGTGTCTCTGAGATCAAACACAATCGTGACTCTCTCTGAGCATCCGCCCTGCTGCAGGCTGCTGTCATGTGGCTCCTAGGGGAGACGGATCCACAGGGAAATGAAATTGCCTGCCTACAGGCAGCACAGAAACAGCATCCCTCGCAGCTTCGGGCACTGTCCCCAGCTGCCTTCTGAGAACCATCAGTCCATCTGTGGATGCTCCTCATGACAAGCACAGCAGGGCTTCTTCCCTAGGAAATGTGCCCTTCATTTGCGTTGCATCGTTAGCTGGGATGATTACTGCTACATCCTCTGACTTGGCTCCCCGCTACTCAGCTCTTCTGAGGCCCCATCTGGAGTACTGTGTCCAGGCCAGGGGCTCCCAACACAAGACACAGAGCTCTTGGAGCAGGTCCAGAGGAGGGCCACTAAGATGATCAGAGGGCTGGAGCACCTCTCCTATGAGGAAAGGTTGAGATAACTGGGCTTGTTTAGCTTGGAGCCCAGGTACTCTGATGACATAAAACCACCCGCTTGATGGATACCAATAACCCAACAAAGTTGGGAGCTAAGGCTGCTGGGGGACACCATGGTGCTGCTTGGGTCACTTCACTGCCTTCTGTCAGTGAGTAAATAAGGAGAGGCTGATCTGTGCTCAGGAAGCTGCACCCAAAGGAGTGGTGTGGGCACATCCCCCCACTCAGAACTTGTGCTGCTTGTTGTGTCTCTTCAGCTGCGCGTTGCCAAGGCTGCACTGCAGCAGGGTAATGGTGACTCACCTCTATTTATAGAAAGGGAAGCTACCGTGCTCCCTGAGAGCTTTCCTGAGCAGCAGCAGCAGGAACCAGCACAATCACAGGATGGAGAGGTGTCAACCTGTGCTGAGGAGTTCTTCTGGCTACTGCTTTCTCACGCGCTCCCACCCAGACCAGAGAACAGCAGGCACAGGCGGGCATCAGCAGGATGGGGTCTGGGTGATGGGCTGGGGGAACACGCAAGGGAAGGGTCTGCGCTGTGGCTAGGGAGCAGAAATTGATGGGTGCCCACCTTGGGTCGCAGGGCAGTGCCTTCTCATCCTCTCGTTAAAAGGGATAAAATGGTCTAAGGGAAAGGCATGATACAACCACAGAGCAACTAGTCAGCACTGCTGTTCTTCAGTGGCAAGCAGACAGATCTTTTTCTCCTCAGAAATATATTGTCTTAGCAAAAGTACTTAGAACAACAACAAAAAAAACAAACAACATTTCATTTAGATTGCTAAGGGCTGTTTTCTTCTATTCTGAACCGGGAATATTGAACCTTTTGGCTTGAGAAGAGAGACACGCAGTGGCTGAACTCAGAAGTTACAGGAAAAAAAAGTTTCAGGAACAGTATTCAAGATTCTGTATACATATTCATATAGAATATGTACACTATGGAAGATTCCTGTATATGACCTTTTTGTTCCTTTGGTGCAACCATCTTCATCTGAGCAGAATGAAGGCCATCTACACACACTGTTCCTACTCTGAATGTGCAGCTGTTAGGAAAGCCACAGCACTGACACAGCACAAGTGTGCTGGGCCCAGTGCAGGGAGGAGCAAGGGGACTGCCCAGCACTCACAAATGACTGATGCCTGCTGACGTGCTCTGTGGGGCGAGACAGAAAGCAGTCAGAACCGATGTGCTGAGATAAGCTGACAACTGAGCCATACAGAAATGGGAGGGAAACATCGGGACGGTCAAGGTGGAGGGAGAGCCATGGGGAACATGAACTGCTGGGGAACCCTCTCCGGTCCCCAGAGTGTGTGTATGCACACGTGCTTGCTCCCAGCCATGCTGTGTCTGCAATGCAGCAGATTTTGAGCTGTGTCATGCAGACAAAAAAAAAAAAAAAAAATCCTCATCAGAGATGACGATGCTCAACGGGTGTTAGTCTCACTGGAGTCCCTCACTGCCCACTGCAGGCACTGAGATGGGTGCAGAGCCATGGACAAAACCCACTATTGATGGTCCTTGATCCTTTGTGAATCAAAAAGAACGCGCAGAGTGTGTTAGCTTTTAACTAAAATACCTTTAAAAACCTCCTCCCAAACAGACAGACCCTTCACACACTGTCAACAGGTTTTTTTTTTGTCCAGCAGGCCTCTAAAACACACTATAGAGCCCGGTGCTGTGAGGGCCAGTCCCTGGCCACATTTCCATTAGCAAACAGAGCTCTGCTGCTGCCCAGCCCGTTTCCTTCAGTGCAGCAGGTCACGCTGCCAGCCAGTCCCGGGTCACACAAAGGTACTCAAGGCTCATCACTCCCTATCCAGACTGCTGCATGCATACCTGCAGCCTCACCACCATTCCCTGGCACAACAGATTAACCATATCCCCCGGGCTCAGCACTTCTCCTGTGTGAGCCCTCTCTGCATGCTTTCAGGGGGACGTTTTGCGTCACTCAGAACCACTTTTGTTGGACTATTTTCTCAGGGTTTATGCGGTGTGTGGAAGTTTTGTTTCACATCACAATGGGTTTACTTTCAGGCCAGGAAATTCATCAGCCAACCGTCTGAACAATTAAACCCATTTTGGCCGGCTTTGCTTTGCTTTGATTCTGGGTTTGGGTGTTCTGTGACTAACCTGGCTTGCCTCACGACCAGCGCTATTCATCATAGCTCTCAAAAGAGGGTAAAAACAAGCGGGCTCAGCAAGAAGACCAGACCCCCAGCCAGCCTCACACGCAAAGCTGCTGCTGCTCATTATCCCTTGGGAAGTGTCCTGTCTATCAGGCAGACAGACCTTCCCTGAGGAGATGTCGTGCTCCAGCACATAGCCCTCAGTTCCACACTTGAACCAGCTCAGAGCTTCCTGCTGTGAAATCACCAATTGTAAACAGTTGCAGATATTTAAAGCATAATCCAAAGACAAGCTCTGTCCTGCAGGCCACCAAAGGCACAAACGTACCTTTTTTACAACTCCTGTAGTGGCCACGATGGTCTCTGCTCCTTCTACTGTCTTGCTGGCCACCGTGTTCACGCTGGCTACCACTGCCTCTCCCACCACGTTGGCCTGCTCCTTGGTCTTCTCAGCAACTGGGATTTCAACAACAGAAAGTCAGTCAGCTCACTGCTGTCAGAGGCTGCTAAAGCAAGGCGCAATAAGATGGCTGCACTAAGATAAGGGAGAAAATTGGCCCTGCATCTGAAATGCTGCTCAGAGGAATGCAAGCACTTAAGCCACTCAGCCTTCACGTGCAATTGGAGACTGAAAAACTCAATGTAAGATACTAAGAGACAGTCAGCAAATGAGGTATTTGTGCTGCAGGCTGTGAGCGCCTCTCCATGAGCACTCTTCATTTGTTCTGTCTGATGTAATGCAGCTGGTAGAAAACAGTAATTTGGTTACAGAACTGGTCAAAGAAAGTATTTGTTGCTCTCCTTGCAAGGCAAGAGCTGCCTGGGCCTCCCAGAAGGGTCCCCCGTGACCAGCAGGAGTCACCCAGGCCATGGCTGCGTCTAGCAGGACTGGTGCAGGCATCCATGTTGGGAAACTTGTCTTTGTGAAATGCATAACTGCTGTAAACCAGCCGTGTCTGCCAGGTAACGTCTGCTGGTTGTTTCCGACCTGCTCTCATCCAAGAGCACTGCAACTGTCAGACCCAAACCATCACTCCTCTGTTCACTGAATGCATGGTCACACAGACCCCCATATTCCCCAGGGATCCCCTGTCAGGCAGAAGCGACAGGGCTGTGCAACACAGGACAGGTATCTGCATCTCCCTCGGGGCGGTGTGCTTACCTGAGGTCACACTCTGCACTACGCCTTCCTTGGTTTTGGTACCTGTGAGATGGAACAAGAAGGAACAAGCCGTCCATCAGCGTTCAAGCATAAATAAATTGTATTTCCCAAATGAAAAAAAGAGTTGACTGGAGGTAATCACAGAATGGCTTGGGTTGGAAGGGACCTCAAGGATCACGAATCTCCCCACCACAGGCAGGGCCACCAACTTCCACATTTAATACTTGACCAAGCTGCCCGGGGCCTCATCCAGCCGGGCCTTGAACACCTCCACGTGCGTGCGCTGCGTAAGATAAAGTGCGCGCAGAGCAGAGGCGCGTCTCGTTTCTGGCACGAGCACTGAGCCGAGAGCTGCGCCGCCGCGTAACGACCCCCGGGCTTGGATTTCAGCCGCCGCCAGGGCCGCGTTCCGGTACACGGGGTGGCACAGCCGGCGGCTCGGAGCCGCCCCGCAGAGGAAACGCCCAGCCCCGAGGCCGCGCCCGCTGACTCAGCCCGGCCCCGCCCGGCAGCCGCGTCTGCTGCGTCAGAGCCCTCTGCGGCGCTCAGGCGCCTTGCTCTCGTCGGTCCGCGGCTGCGGGGTGCCCGCGTGAGCGTTCCCAGCGCCTGCCGCAGCTCCTCGTGTCCCTGAAAGACCCAGCGCGGAGCACGGAGCGGGGCAGAACTGGGGCTGTTACCAAACCTCTCGTCGTCTCCGCCTATGCTCGGTCCTCATTGCACGATTTGAGTTGTAAAGCTTTTAGAAACCGTAGTAAGGAGCTCAGATCTCCTGAGCGGGCTCTGCATCTCTCCCCACAGCCAGGAGAAAATGAAAAATCAGGTCAGAGCGTAGAGATGCGGAGCACTGCCCAAAGGAGATGGGAGGAATTCAGTTCAGAAATTTGGAAGTTTCCTTCCTAACATCACTCGGAGCAGGAGCAACACCACAGGCTGGCTCACACACAGCCATTTTCAGGCTCTTGCGGCTGCCTCAATTACGTACAGGGATGCTGAGTGCCTTTTGCTTGTGAGTCAGCTTCAAACTGAAATGTGAGCTGTTACGTGCGTTCATTTGCAGCGTGCCATGAGCTGAGCGTTTAAAAATTCAGGATGAAGACATAACCAGGGCTGCTGCACATAAATTTTGTATTTATTTCATCTCCAATTTAAATCTGTCTCTACACATACAGCTATTGCCAATACAGCTGTTTTAAATACAGCAGCTGTGGGTACGGTATCTGATGAGCCTGCTCACTTTCCCACTGCCCGACCCTCCCACATCTGGAGGACAGGAAAGCTGTGCCAGGTGCTGCTGTTGGCACCAGGATGAGCAGGCCTGGGAAGGAGACTCTGCAGATGGATGGTACCTGGAGCATCCGACCATCCCGACATGTACTCTCATGTACCAGGCAGTGCAGGAGCCAGGTACTGGGGGTGACCTTGAGCAGAGAAGGTTTGAGACATGATGGTAACTGAAGGATTTCTGGGCCGGGCAGCGGTCGTGCTGTTTCTCAGAACCTGCCCATGGGGCACAATGAATGTGAGTATCTCTAGTGAAGTGAGACTGATGTGCATATAGGCAATGAAACAGAGAAGGATTTCAGGATCAAAGGGTGTGTTTGTGGGTACAGGTGCATCCTCCAGCCCCACTCCTGACACTGTGGGCTGTTGGCATGGGCCAGCTAGCATATACCTCACACCTGGGTGCAGTGGGATGGCAGTGGGGGGAGGATGAGCTGCACCATACAGGCACCCAGCACTCAGCACGGACCTGCCAGTCACACACCCGCTGCTCCACACCACACTGCTGCCACATCCCCAGGCAGAAGCAGGTTCTATGCCTGGCTCCCAGCTAGGGAAACTGAGGCACGAGATGTCTGCAGCATCCTAGGATTATGCAGCTCTGTGCCAGGGCATCACCCAGACCTCCCACCATTCACTCCTCAGCTCTGCCACACAGCAGTGTCACCAGACTTTCTCAGAGACAATTTATGAGGCAGTCCACGCTCAAAAGCAAATTGAAAACATCTCTCTTACCTACGTACATCACACCTTCTTTAGTCTTCTCTGCAGCCTCTGTCACTCCCTGCTTGGTCTTTTCTGCAGCAGCCACCACACCTTCTTTAGCAATAGAAAATCCTTTCTTAAAGACATCCATCCTTCTGGCTGCCCAGGGTAGCAGCTGGGTGCAGGGCAGCAGCAAGCGGCTCCTTGGGAGGGGTCCTGCAGTCAGCAACCCTGCCCTTGTTAGATCTTGCCTCCTCTGCCAGGCTCTGTGTCTGCTCCGGTTCCTCTGCTGGAGGAGGATGGTGAGACAAACCTTGCAGCCTTCTCTGGCTCTTATTGATTAAGTGCACTGCAAAGTAGCCAATGCCTGCAAACAGCTGGTACTGAAATATTAATGATATGGATCTGCCTGGTAAGATTTAAGGAGGGAGGGGGAGAGGAGGAGGACAGAGGTACGTAAGAGACTTTCTGGAAATCCTCCAGGTAGATAAAGCTTTTAAAAGACGCTGCGGTGCTCTCGCTCAAGGATGCTCTCAAGAGGAGATGTTTTATCCAAAGAGCTGAGTTCCTGAAAGCACCTCTGCCCAGGGCTGCAGCAAGCACAGGCTCCTCTGGGTCCCCAGGAGGAGAAAAGCATGTGAAGTGCTGGTAATAAACCCGACAGGGACAGCTCTCCAGGTTAGCTGTAAACAGAATGCATCCCACACAAAGCAGTAACAAGAACATGGTTTCTCATAAACGCTGACTGAGAAGGGGAGCGGATAGCGCTTGTGCCCAAGGACAGTGTGCTGGAAAGCCCAACAGCCACATCTGAAATGTCTGAAGGTGGCCCCCCCAGCATCAAGTACAAATCACAATTTGGGCTTGACTACACACCCCATCATAATAGCTTTAAAGTGAGCCAGGGTTTAGGTTTAGGTTAGATATTAGGAGGAAGTTTTTCACACAGGGTGGTGAGGCACTGGAACAGGTTGCCCAAGGAGGTTGTGGATGCCCCATCCCTGGAGGCATTCAAGGCCAGGCTGCATGTGGCTCTGGGCAGCCTGGTCTGGTGGTGGTTGGCGACCTGCACACAGCAGGGGGTTGGAACTGGATGATCATTGTGGTCCTTTTCAACCCAGGACATTCTCCAATTTTATGAGAATGGTTAAAGACACGATGGCTGTAGGGGAAATCTTGCTTTTATTTGTTTCCGGGCTGAGCCACTGCAGAATGATGTCGGTGGGAGGACTGATGGCAGAAGCCTTGAGCTGATGACCCACTTGGCCTCAATGCCTCTCCAGGAAAAAGTATTGAAACACAGATCATTAAAATCACATCTGGATATGATTAGTAATTTATCTTGAGTTCAATTCTTTCTGGAATAGACCCTAAGTGGCCCAGATCAGCTTTTCTGCTGCTCCCAAACTGGAACCCAACAGAAACAAGTGCTGGTACAACACAGTAGTGTTTTGTTTCTGGTGCCCTATTTGGGGAAGCCATGAAGTATCCCTCTGTGCACCAACCCAGCCCACTGCAGCCGCCCCTGCTTACCAGGCAGGCTGAGAGGGAAGCTCCAAGGCTGCAGCCATGACATGGGCAGCACACAGATTGCCCTCTTACTGCTGAAGTCAGCAGATTAATGTGGGTTTGGGAAGTGTTTTCTTACACCATGTTGAAATAATGGCAAGACTGTTGATGTGGAAAATAAGATTAAGATTTATTAGTCTTTTCCTCACCAGTGGTTCTCCTTGCCAATAAATGAACCATGAATTCCCATTTGAATGTAGAAGAGCTAAATCTCTTACAGGCTACAAAATGTATCAATTGTTAATCCAAAAAAAAAAAAAAAAAAAAGTGCAATATTCAAAGAAAGGCTGTCACAGCATGCTGAATATTTTAAGTGCTCTCACTGTTCTGGACTGCCATAACACTGAGGAAAGAACAGCTTTTCTTTCCATCCTTCTGAACATCCTTTGGGCAGGTGACTGCCCACAACTCACAGGGCACAGTGTTCACAAATATGAAATGTGTGTGCCCTGCTGCGTCACACCGCAGGAGGCTGAGTATGGCATATGGTTCCATTAGGCACAGGGCAGGTGCCAGGTTTTTACTGCATTTGGTAAAAAATGAAACTGACCATCCTTGGGGCCAATTTACTTCTCCTCAAGGCTTTCAAAGAGCATTAAGGCAGAGCAGAGGGCTTTCCAGATACTTCATGGGAACATCCAGCCTGAGAAGGTTGTGAGAAGTATTCTTTGATTTTGTTGAGCTATTGTCCTGTCATTGTAACTCCTGTAATTAAATGCTGCATATTTTGCATTGTTGTAGAAGTTCACAAACGCAAGGAACATCGAGCCATCCTGCAGTGTGGGAGATGAATCATCACTCAAGTGCATCAACCGGTGCTCGAGAGGGATACTCCTTTCCTGTGCTCTCCCGTCCCAATGACCTTCAGACAGAACTCACAAGAGGCATTTAAACTCGCTGGATCCCTCCCAAGGCAGCCAGCAGTTTGCACAGACATTGTTTTACCTTGGAACCATTTTAGGAAAGCTCTGGACTCAAGGCAACGTTGTAAGTGACCTATGTAGGGCAAAAATCAGTAAGAGCTCCTGAATATTAGCCATCTCATGGCATCTGTACCTTCCTACTTGAAGCTGAGGATCTAGTGCTCATTTGTTGCCAGTCCTGCCTCAGTAGAACTTGGCAGTGGGTGAGATCTGTGCCTGAAGAAGAATTTTCCCCTTCTAGTAGATACGACACCTTAACGAGGAATGGAGTTCTTCCTCCTAAGGGCAGATCAGGGGGCCAAGGCTGGCCTGGCAGCTGGCAGCCCCTTTTGGTCCCTCAGATGCCCTGGGATGCACAGGAGAAGCCACTAAGCCAGGCCCTCCACCCCTCCCCATGGCTGATGGCTGCAGTGTGTGTGTGCTCTCCCACAGTGACTCTGCAGTATGTGCAAGATAGGTCTAACCCAAGCCTACTATTCCCTAAAGCAGACATAAAGGAAATCAAGGAATGCAAAAGAAAATCAAAAACAAGACTCCCTGTCCCCTTCTGCCCATTTTTTTCTTAGTGAATACAACAGACTGAAACAAGATTTCAATTAATTATCCTCTCTTCCCTCTGGCTCTCTGCATTGCCAATTACTGTGCACACAGCACCTTAACCTTGTCCTCAGCCATGAGCTTGGGCTGCTGGCCATCAGCTGTCGAAAGCATCTCACTGCTGGAAAGGAATGGGGTTTGGTCATCTATTGAAGTATTTTGGGGGCATATGACGTCTGAAAGATGGGCTGCTTTGTGGCTGGTGCATATCCTTTGTTAGGGAAGTTTTAGCAGGGAGAATAATGCTAACAATAACAGGATCAGACCTTGCTCTGTATAAACAGAAATCCTCTCTCCATTTATGAATACTTCAGAACGCGGAAAGGAGAACGGTCTCAGATGGCTCATTTTCATGCTTGAAAGAAAACAAGCTGCTCTGCCTGCCATCCTCCAGGCACACAGCGAGGACTCTCACCCCGGCCACAGGTCTGCATGGCTAATGGGAGATTTCCTCTGGTAAGGCTGGCGGAGGAGCATTCAGAAGGCACATACACAGCAGCTGGCAGGATGGCCTGCAGCCGGCTTTGGTGGTGGATCTCTGCTACTGAGCACCACTGATGGGCTCCAAGCAGAATGATAAACACACTCCCAGCAAGAATGTGGCTTCCTCCCCTGAGGACAGACCACCAAAGCCCAGCTTCCCAGCCTGCCTGTGGAGGTAGCATTGCCAGGGCACGTGGGTGGGCAGAGAATGAGGCAGCATTTCACAGACCTGAAGGCAGTGGTGGCTGCCCAGCGGCTCCCCCCCTTGCTGGGAAGATATCAACAAAGCTGTCCTATTCATCTTCACAGACAGAAAATCCATTCATTTATTCAGTCTGCTCCAGAGGTTTCAGGCTGGAATAAATGAGTCCGAAGCAACTTATGCTTATTAAAACAATTCCAGTTTTTCTGGGCTTTTCAAGCCTGTTTTTTTTTCCCCAGGACTGTTTTGTTTTTTCCCTTTTCTTTTTAAATATTCAGATTCTGAAGTTAAAATATAGGCTTAAGAGCATTACAGGGTAGCAGAAGGAGATGCAGAAGAAAACAAAAAATTATCTGAGTTGAAATTGAAGATTTAATTTCTAGCTGCTCTTTCTCCACAGGGAAGCTGCCAAGCATCACCTGCTCGATTGCTGTCCAAATGAACAGAAGCCATCTCTCCAGCATGATGTTTGGCAATGCTTTCCTGCTGGTTCTGCCTCCTGTCAGATTGCGGCCTCAAGGGTTTGTCCTCTGAGCAGAGTAGAGAATCACCAAGAGAAAAAATGGGAATTTCCTATGCTGTGGGTTCTCTAGAAGGCAGTGCTGATGTTTGACATCTTGGCCATTTGGAGGTGCAGATGGGATGTTGGCCTCTCAGGACAGGAACTGTGGGAGAGGGTTAAGAGCTGTGCTTAGTGTAAACAGTTACAATTAGCAGACAAGGCAAGAGTAGTGGCGACAGTTGTCACAAAGTTCATGGGGTTCATGGATGAGTCTGGAGGAACTGGTGATGCATTGGCACCTGCTGCCCAGGGAGGCGGTGGGATTACTGCTCCTGGAGGCATTCAATAAATGAGGAAGTGTGGCACTGAGGGACGTGACAGTGGGCATGGTGGGGATGGATCGAAGGCTGGACATGATGATCTTAGAGGTCTTCTCCAACCTGAGTGATTCTATGATTCCGAGACTGAGAATGGATCAAAATATTTCCAAGAAATGTTGGGAAAATTAAATTAATTTCACAAATAAGAGCACAAAGGAAAGGAAGAAATAACAACTGGAGACCAAGACAGGAGGAACAAACCAGGTATCTCGCCTGTCAAATTTAGATGCCAAAACACAGAGCAACTCTGTTTTTCTTAGCTGATCTGAGGGCTGCTGGAAATTTCTTTGGGCAGCTCCAAATGCCTCTGAACTGAACTACCATGTCACTTACTGAGCATCCTCTAATGCCAAAACATCTTCCAAATTATATATTTTTTTTTTATCTTACCTATTTCTTCCACTCTAGCAGTGGCACCCAGCTCTGCAAAGTACACCGAGCTTCCAGTAAGGCAGGTAGCTGAATAGGGAATAGGCATCTACTGACGTTAGCTGGTACATGCTTGTCTTTCTCATCATCTGGATGTATCTCCTGGAAAAGACTGTCCTCAGAAAGTGAAGAGCAAACAGCTATGGAAAATGGCCTTATGTGTCTGTTTCCCATGGTTCCATGCCGAAGCACCAGATCAAAAAATGGGCAAAGTTGAGATGAATTGTGTTTCTATGCAGGTGCTCCTCATATCCACTCCCCTACAGAAGTTAAACCAGAAAACTTATGTCATAGCCCAGCAACTGTTACGAACAAAATACCATAATCTGCATATTCAGATTATTCAGGGACCCTAAGCCACAGCAGTTAATAATTCAACAGAAATCTTTCATAGTGTTGTCCAATAAAGAGGGTCCTTTGAATAATTCACACCCTAGATATATCCATGGCAATGTCTATGCTGCATCCACCCAAGGACAGAGATGTCAGTCACCAGCACGCTCAATACTTTTCATGTCTTTCATAACTGCTACTCAAAAGTCACATGAAATGATTAACCTGTCAATGGCTGAGCAGTCTGCAGCACACACAAGAGGAGCAGCAGATGTCTCAGTTGGGGTGGCAGAGATGCATTGCCTCACTGCTTTGGAGATACCACGTCCTGGAAGAAGAAAGATGTCACGGGTGATTAAGTGGAAAAGCTCATGATGAAAGACAGGACCAAAGGGTTTGGAAATGGGTCACAAATGGGGTATCTTCATCTTCTGCAGCACAAAACCACCTTTCTGCAAGCCGTGATCCTACAGCAGTTCAGGTTTTACACCTGTTATTTGTTTTGCCTCACGTTCATTTCAGTTCCTTCCCTACAATGGGCTGTCCTAAGTAAACAAACACAATGCTTAGGTCATATCCAGTTACTTATAAGAAAGTCCCATTTGCATGTGAAAAACAGCACATAAGACATGCACACACCAACATGAGCTTGTGCTCTAGCAGGATGCGTGCAATTAGGTAATAAAGGCAGCAGGAAGGAACAGAGGGAAGTTGCTTACTTTTTTCAGTCTTAAGTCCAGAATCTGTGATTTCATCTCCCTGGAGAAGTGACTGCAGCAGCAACAGCAGGTTTTGTCCTTAGAAAGACAGGAATCTCTCCCTGCCTTGCTCCTGTCCATGCCCTTGCCCAGCAGTGTCAGCCATCAGACATTAAGGGCATCTCCATACATTTCTGGGTTCTTCCATTATGCACAGAAGAAGCAGGAGGGGCTCTAGATCTAACCTATGACAAGGAGAGTCCTCAATAACAAAGCCTTCCAAAATCCTAGAGAGATTTTATCCTGCTTTATTTTTCAGCAGACATTGGAGCAACTCCAGAAAAGCTTTACATTTAATGGCCTGCAGGACAGACTGAGCCTTTGGCCGCGCTTCTCTTCAATCACTGTGAGACATGCTCCAGCACTCCTGCACCAGAATCCACACCTGCTTTGTCAGGAAGCATAATTCCACTTTAATTTTATTCTTAAAGATGCCAGAGTGCATCACGCTGTGAGGCAGGGAGGAAAGAAATGCACTCTGCTTTACGACAGCAACCAAACCAAAAAGCAGCAGCTTTTTCTGGTGATGGAATAGGATGCATAGAATTCTGTGGAGGCCACACAGAAATGGATGTCAGTAAGATCTTTTTTCCCCACTGTGATCTTACTCCAAAGATGTTAATGACCACAATTGGTTGCAGGTACCAAAATTGCACAAGCCAGGGCATTTCAGATGTTCAACTGGAGAAGTAAACATTTGCAGACACCGAAGCAAGCAGCTCTGTGGTATTTTCTGGCACCATAACGAGAGTCTGTTACACCACTCAGTATTTTCTTTCCTTTCTTTTCTCTTCCTTTCCTTTAAAGCTAACATCCTTTTCCTGTGCCTGAGGGAGAAGGCAGCTGATAAAAGCTGAGTTCCTGTTCACAGATAAGTTTAGAAGGCAGCCAAACTCAGAAGTTCCTTGAATAAGTTATATCCCTACCACCTTTTTTTTTTTTTTTTTTTCCCCCTCTGTTAGAGGCATTCCACACAGGAACCAGGCTCACATTGTTTGATGGCCACGGACATTTCCACAGTGCCTGGGAGGGTCGAAAGCTTTTTCCGCTCTTTGTTACAAATCTTTTTTTTTTCCTTCCTTTTTCCAACTTTTCGTTTAAAGAATACTGCCAGGGCATTCCAGCACTAATTCAGGCTGCGCTCCGGAGAGGAGAACAACAGACAGGTGTAATTGGGTGGGAAAAAAAGCCCACAATGCTAGTGAAGGTTTTGCTCATCTGTAACACAATAGGACTGGCTAAGCTGGCCCGGCACATCGACCATCACGGCTACCACGATGTTCCGATGCATGGCTCAAAGGCACAGAGCCACCAGACCCCCACAGACCCGGAGAGGGCTCTGCTGCAGGAGGAAGAGGGCTCCTGGGAGGCAGCAGAGCGCCGGGCAGATGTGCCAGAATACTCTGTGAGTATTGCCTACCCACACCAGGGAGAAAGAGAGCAGCTGGAAGCTGTCAGCCCGCCATCCCAAAACGGGTAAGTACCCAAATATGCATGTTCATGCCCGTGATGGAGTCACGTATGATAAACGTGATGAAAGACCATTATGGATAAAGGTTTCTCTTTGAAACATATTAGATTATAGGGATTGGTCTGCATCCAAATAGGAGAAGTTTAATGTTCTAACTACAGGAACAGGAAATATAATTGCTTGTGAAGGATGAAACCACAGACGTGGCTGACTCTTTATCCTAAAGACAGCAGGATGGATGCAGTGCCTGGATGCACCTGGTGTGGCTAAAGCCATGAGGCAGAGCCCTGCAGCTCCCCTGTAGCACAGTAACACAGAATACTACTTCAGGCACAGCAGAACTAGATAAAATTCATTCCTCACTTTTTCTCTTCACACACCAATGGGGGTTTTTACCGACTGGCAACCTTTGCTTATCATCAGAACATACTCAGCTCAGAACTGGGCCTTGGGGAAAGAGGAAGATGAGAGAAAGAAGAGTAGGATGTTAGCAAAACAGGAACAGTGAGGAGTAAATATAAAAGGAGTAACAAATAAGCATATCACAAATTCAACCTTCCCCCCACCAAAAGAGAAAGGAGAAAACAAAAAAGGATTTTCACATACTTCTCATAATCATCTCTAGCTGTGTACCCATTCAGAGTAGATAAAGCATGTGCTTCACTAGAAAGGTTTCCAAACACTATGCGTTTCGTGAGTTTTACAGGGCATGTAAGTAGGTCCCTGAATGTTTTAAATAGATGAAAACCAATCAGGACAGGGAATGAATCTTTTATAGCACTGATGGAAGGCTACTGCTCAGGACGGCTGGAACAGCAGCACAGTGAGTGCTGTTCACAGCTCACTGCTTCAGGATGCTCTGATTCTTCTCTTCAAATGTTCTTGGGGTAGTGAGAGGAGGGAGGGAAAGACTGTAAATCCTTGTTCATGTCACGATTCCTTTCCACACAAACAAAAGCTTGCCATCTTCTTTCTAAATCTCATCTACCTGTAATATTAAGGCCTCCCTTCTGCATGTAATACAGTGCAGGACTTACAGTCCTGTTTTCCTTCATATTCCATATCCCCACAGATCTGTATGCCATAGCACTAACCTCGAATCGTTTTCTAAATCCCACCAAGTATTGACTTGCAGTTTTCTGATGGACAGTGCTCAGTAATGGCGCACACTTAATTCACCAGCTGCTGGCTAATGCATTTGAGACTCTAGCAGAGCAAGGAAAGCAAAACAGAACCATTACCATGGCCTTGCATGCTATACTGCAAGGTGTCAGGCATTTGATGGCTTGTTGAAACGCTGATAGCAATCTAAAAGCTGCAAAAATTCAAACGTGTAAAGAGGTACTTGTAGAGGTCAGCAAGGCTCTGTAATATACTTTCCTAATTAGGACCTTTTCCTTTGCTGTGTGACTTTGTTCAGCACCAACTTGTGTAACACCATTCAGCACAAGCTGTTACTCATCCTGATTTCCTCCCAAGAAGAGAAATGCTTCCTCCTTTTAAGGAGATGGTTGCATAATGAGTCAACTCACAACGCTCTTCCCTATTATAAAGCAATGCTGATGACTACACGCAGTCAAGATCTAGCCTGCCAGTAGCTTCAGGGTATTCGGTCTTTTGCTGGAGCAATCACAATTAGAGTGATAAGCCCAGCAAGGCAGCACATCTCAGGAAATAAATTTAATGTTTTCAGAGGAGCTGTACCCAAAATTGAGTGGGGAGAGCGCATACACTAACAGACAGCACAGGTCTGCTTCTGCCTGTGCTCCAAATCCTTAGTGTTGCTGCAGATGGCTGAAGGAGCAAGGAATGAAAGCAAGGGAAAAGGCATTGGGAGTTACAAGGAACTAAGAGACATGGTGAAATCCACACACACCACTAAAAGCTCTGGGGTGATGGAAACCAACAACTGGTCCATGGCAACGCTGTGATACCTTTCTAGCAACAATCAATGACTTTTCCCCCAAGCTCTTGCTGTTTTTCTTATGCGTTAGAAATGATGATTGTTACAAAACATTCTTAGACCTTTTCAAAATAAATGAGTATTATTTTTCTCATGGTCATTTGAGTAATTGGAGACCATGATGACTAATACTCCCCAGGCCATTGGAATTCCTTGTGTTCTGTTTCAGCACGTAAGGTGAAATGACTCACTAAGGCCCAGTCAAATGCCTGGATATGTTATGTTACTACTGAATTCCTCTCAGAATAATGAGGTTATTCTAATCAGAGTTTTAAAATAAGGCAGTTTTTAATGAGAAATGTGTGGATAGTAAAGAACAGTTTCAACTGTTTGATAAAGGAAGGGCTAGGTAAGAGATTGGTATCTCAGCTGCTGCTTGTATCTGAGCGCACCAGAGAGGCTGTGCTTGTTCAAAGTTTCCTTCTTTTTCCCTGAAGCTGTCTTGTGCAATTGATCAGTTTGACACGACAAAACTTCCTTATGGCTGAGATAAATGGATCCATGAGTACACAAACTTACCAGCAGAAGTAGAAAGGGAAATGGAAGCACAAGTATACAAAGATCTGTACTCTATTAGCATCTGTTTTAGGCATGGAAGTTGAAGAGTAAGAACAGTAAAGACAAGTGATAGATTTCATAAATATACAGTATATAATACCCATAACTCCCATGCAGGCTCTAATCCAATCCCTCTGCCTGCAGCCCCACAAAGAATTGCACTGATGACTCAGATTACATGCACACAATATTCATATTTCTTAAAAACAAACAAACAAAAAAAAACCCCAAAAAACAACAACAAAAACAAAGCATCTAAAAGGTGCAATTCCACCACATGCTCTTTTGGGCAGCGAAGCCCAGAGTTCCCTGTATCCTCAGTTGGCCTGGCCTGTGAAGTAACACTGTCAACCAGATCACTTAAGTGTTCCAGGTTAAAAATAAGCTCAAGGAGAAAAAAAAAAACCAGAGGCTATTTTTGATTTTACCCCTCAGTAACCACATTGACAGAGCTGATCCCCAAATGGATGGCTCACGCAGCGAAGGAGAAATGGAAGTGGTGATGAGGTGGGGATAAGCAAAGGAGCTAAACCTGCCTTCCCTCTCTATGACAAAGTCATAGAACTTTTCCTCTTTCCTAAAGCGAAATCATCGTCAGGGAGCTCCTGCCCTGTGTGAACTGTATCTCCGTCATGGCAGGTATTTTAGTGCTCTGTTCTCCTTTATCCACAATCAGATGCTCAATCTCCCATCTATTGCAATTTTTCTTACAGTTAAAATGTTTGGGGGGAAAAAACAAACAAACAAAAAAAAACCCATCCCGAATCCTGACAGAAAAGGCAAAAATCTGCAGAATAAGTAGATCCTTAATCATGCTGACTTGTGTCAAGGTTTGTATACACAGTCCTGTCCCTTGATGGGAGGAAGGCTTCCTGATGTCAGCCAGCAGTGCTGTTATCTCACTGAAACACGCACCTCTTCCTTTAGCCCTGCACTGGGATGGCCACAGAGCTGGTGTCTGTGATCAGCCAGGGTGCCCAAAGGGGGAGCCATCCGTCCTTCAGAGTGCAAAGAAGCAGAGGAAACCAAAATAGCTCTTATTATGGGAAAAGTCAAAACAATGCCCAATCTTAACAGCTCGTTTTCTTTTCTGCTTTTACAGGAAAACATCAATTGATCTGATTAATATCAGTTTCACACTGACTCATCTATTTCTTCCAAATTAGAGAGGGACTTTCTTAGGATGTTTATGGGATACTGAAATTTCCCACCAAAGGGGAATAGAACGCAGGCTTAAAATAAAGCAACTTCTGGATTAAATGCAGTTTAATGTGATCTTCAGCCCCTGACATCCTGCACACTAGTGGAACGGCCAGAGTGCTCAACAATAGCTTTTGTAGTGCCAAGTTCACTAACAGAAGCAGTGGCTTTCCTATCAAAATTTGGCACTTGCCTCCTTTCAGGAGTTTTGGAAATCTTCAACTCTCTTGTTGAGTTGCACAGCTACAGGTGGAATGGCTTCCCTTTTGTGTATTTGATGGGCAGTTCCTGAAGAAACATAGCTTCACTGAGCGCAGTACAGTAGTTACCTAGCCCTCCACATGCAAAAGATTCATTTCCATTGTTACATGGTTCATTAGTGCAAGCTGTAGCAATTTGTTCCTTCAGAAGATAGCAAGGGATCTCTTGTTTAAGAGTAGTGACAGAATCCAAAGCCTTCCTACAGATGAGGGTCACTAACCCTCAAACAAGCCCTTAGCAGCTGGCTCTGAACAAACTGAAATCTTCTGCTGAGAAGAAAAGATGATCAGGACAAGCCTTGCTGCTCACTGAGCGCACACAGTTTGGGAACCTTGTCTTGTTCTGCATCTTTGACTGGCTGGCACAAGCACAGCTATGCTGGCAGGGAGCACCAGCTGCAATCCCACTTCAAGATGAAGTGAGAGTGCGCTTTTATCTGCAACAATCAGAAGATGAAATCCCAGTTTAAGCTGCCCTCAGAGCGGGCTGTAGAACTTGCACTGTGCTGAGGAAGACATAAGGAAGGAAACGGCTGTGAATGCTTTGTGAAGAAAACTCTTGCACAAATTTCTCTGCAGTAGCTGTACAACAGGTGGGATTGCCTCAAAAGCCACTGCAACCAAGTCTGCTTTCTCTGAAATGCTGCTTGCTGTGAGGCTCCAAGTTCAGGACTGGTTTTACTCAGAAAGCCATCGTGGCACTGCATTCGCAAGGCATTCTGCAGGACAGGCCATAGCTGAAAATATACTAACTGGCATCACAGCTGGAATGAACTGGGACACTGGGAGACTTGTAGTACTGCAAGAAAATCCAAACACTTGGCATTGCTGCTCTTTCAGCTGAGCTTGTTATGATTAACTACAAATCAATCAGTCTACTTTCATCAAATCCCTGTTAGAATCAGTGATGCTCAAGGCATGAGGCACAAAGTTCCTGCCCAAGAGGAGCATTACCCATAATCAGGGAAAGAGGGAAACAAGAGAAGTAGTTCCTGCTGCCTGGCTGATACACAGTGCTGCCTGCTCAGCAGAGCAGAAAATTCACTGATGTGCTGACAGGTCACCAGCAATCACACATCAGCTGCTAATTAAAAACAAGGGCACACCTTGTTCCTTATGAGAGCCAGCACCTTTTTAAGTACTTAATCCCTTTGGCACTCCCCAAATGAGTCTTTCTTAAAACCGACATGCACAGTCCCATTTCAGACTAATTTAAATGCAATGCTTTACCTCTTTTTTGAACTGAGTGCTCTTTTATTGTCAGCGCTTTGCACTGTGGGAAAAACTGAACACAGATTATTCTACTGCTAAAGCCTGATTTTTTTCTGCTTCAACTGGAGTAGGTCAGGAGCCTAACACAAGTTAGTAGGAAATCGCTTCACATTCAGAGACCAGCACAGAATTGTAGGGATTGGAACAGACCTCTGGAGACCATTGAGTCCAATCCTAATGCTAAAGCAAGTTTCCTACAGCAGGTCACACAGGGAAGCCTCGAGGTGGGACTTGAATATCTCCACAGAAGGACACCCCATCTCTCTGGGCAGCCTGTTCCACTGCTCTGTCACTCTAGCAGTAAAGAAGTTCTTCTTTCTGCTTGTATGGAACTTCCAGTGTTCCAGTTTGTGCCCATTGCCCCTTGTCCTGTTGTTGGGCACTACTGAAAAGAGCCTGGCCCCAGCCACTTGATACCCATCATTAGATAATTACAAGCATTGATAAGATCCCCCTCAGCCTTCTCTCCTCCAGGTTGAAAGGCCCCAGGTCTCTCAGCCTTTCCTCGTACAGAAGATACTGCAGGCCCCCTTCCTGGCCCTCCATTGGCCTCTCTGCAGAGGTTCCCTGTCTTTTTCTTGAACTGGGGAGCCCAGAACTGGAAAGCCTTCTGTTGTCATCTAGTAGCACATCTTAGCAGCAATAATTGCATACCTTGTGCCTTTTGCATTGCACAGAAAATGACTTGTGCTCTGTCAGTAACAGTCATGATCCGCTGGGCAGGAGTTCTCAAAGTAATTATAGGAACTGCCTTCCTTGAGAACAGAAACAGGAGGAAACTGATGTGAAGGACAGCTCTGCTGCATGAGCACAGACAAAGGAATAACAAAACTCATGGAAAAACAACATCCTGCAGCTTTTGTTCAGGCAAAAATTCCACTGACACAGCAACGGTCTAAAATGATGCATTACAGTGACAAGCAGGAGACCACCAATGAAACTGAAGTACCTGGCTGTGCTGGGGGACATTATTCTCATCTACCATCATGCTGCTCTTATCAGTTGTAGCACTATGTGGAAAAGAACCAACCCTGTATTCATTGTAACAAAGTTATGGCCACTTTGCTTTACCTCCTGTCCTGCTGCTGTGATAGCAGGATGTCTGACCAAATTCTGACATCACAAACAAAACTGCTTGTGTTTTGCTGTGTTTCAGAAAAAGCAGGTGTAATATCCAAGAACAACAACAGCAAAACCAACCATTCCTAGCATCAAAACAAGCATCCTTAGCCCTGGTTCTGTAGGGCTGACTTCGGCGTTGCTCCAACTTGCAGTTTTGCTATAAGCTTCATCATTCCCCACCCTAGAAATAAAGCTCTCCTGCTCTCCTCACAAAGCAGCTTCTCCTTGGCCACAGAGGCTGGAGTTGAAAGGAAACCCTATTAAGGAGGATGAAAGCACAGAGTGCAAAGCTGGTGGTATAGTCAGTGAGTGAAGCTACAAAATCACAAGGGGAAAAAAATACAGAAGCAGAACATAAAGCTTCTATGTCCCAGAAACAGGCTGAATGAAGTTCTCTTTGTGAAAGGGCAGTCACTGAGGCTTCATAGCCCATTGGTGTCAGTGCAGAATTGCCACTTGTCTCACTGAACTTCAGATCAAGCCTTTGTAAGTCTTTAAATCATTCCACTTTAATGTTAAGGAATGACGTATTTCCCTCAAGGTTAATACAATTAAGGAGTATTTTTAGTAATAGATAGAAAAGTTTCCTTAAAGGAAGCATTTGACAAGATATATAAAAATACTGCAATAGAGGTTTCACCTTTGGGCACATGTATCTATATTGCAGCCCTTTACAGATAGGAAAAATGGGCTTTACATATTTACTCGACGACATAATACAATTTGATAAATTGAATCCAACTCAAATCCGCTAAAAACTGTTATAATTACAACCAAAGTATGATATGATATTGCCATTCAGCTTCACAAATCAACTTCTACATTGAGCCAGGGAAAACTAGCAAGCAGATACTAAAGAAAAAACAAACATACAGAAATATGACTACTACTAAAGGCAGCTTTTATACAAAGTATGTCAAATTCCTTTTGCTTCATATTCTATGTCCCACATAATACATAATTACCCAAGCAGCAGGTTGGGGTCAATTTCTGACATAACGTAACTCTCTTGTATGGGAGAGAACCTAGGAGTAAGCCCACCAGATACATACAGCATGGGAGCAGGTTTTGAAAAGAATCTTCTTATTTTCTATTAAATGTGTTTGTGCATTTATATCTGTGATAGTAAAACACTCATCTTGCTCACACACATTTGTGCATGTAAACATTTGGTTTAGATCTGTGAGGCTTATGTGACCAAAAGCACTCATCTGGGAGCCACGCTCAGTGGGAAAAACGAATCGGCACAGATGATGATTCATGGGGTGTGGGTTGTTTTCATCAAGAAAGAACAAAACATGAAAGCAAAATAATCGTATTTGAAAAAGAGATTTCCACATGGGACGTGGACCCTTGCTGGGATCTGGCAGGCACCCCACTGGGCAGGTCTGAGGCCCTGCACCTGGCACCAGTGCCTGCTTGGGCTAGCAGTGTGTGTGAGCCAGGTTATTTTGCTAGGAAAAAATAATAATAAAATAAAGAGCAGAGAGGATTTGAGCTGCAAAAGCCACTCACAGCAATGGCTTGCTGGGCACATGGCAGGGGACAGCTGTTTTGGCTTGGAACCACAAGAAAAGTGGCAGCAGGCTGCTTCTGCACAGCTTTCATGCCTGTCTCTAAGAACTGAGAGCAGCTTTGCCCACAGGTGTGCTTGCTGACATCTCAGCCATGCTGTACCTTGAGAAGCTGGCTGCAGTGAGTGTGGGGAACTCGCCCAGCTTGCCCAGGCTGTCTGCCTTCCCTCTCCAGCTTCCTTCCCTTCTCCTGGCTGCCCTGCTGTTCTCCCAGCTGCCATGACCACAGCTTCTGCTTTCGAGCTCAAGTTGGTTCCCCATTGTTTCTGTGCTCAGACAAGAAAGGCAAACTTTTTCCATATATGCTGATTATCAGAGATTTAGTTCCCGTGTTCCCATATAAAAATATACCGCCTAAAGTTCAGCTGTTCTTTATCAGGCACAGCTCTCCCCCACACAATGCTCTGCTCCATTTTAACACAAACCTTTGGAGTACCTCCTGATCCTTCCAAACTCCCCCGTGGATACAATTGGCATTGTTCAAGACCTGATTCTGCTTTTGTTTTGAAAAACTAGTGTTGATTTCTTATGGAAAAGGAGTTTAACCAATATGCATAATGGCACAAAAAAAATACTATTTCTATTTTCCCTCCAGGCTTTAAGGAGATACACGGTGTTTATTAACATCTCATCTCCTTGCAGGTTCTCTGAGCCAGCAAAGCTTGCACATCCTTTTTCCTCACTTCACTGTGCGCTGGTGAAGCCTCACCTCAACCACTGTGTGCAGGTTTGGGCATCATAAGGAGGACATAAACCCCTTAGAGACCACCAAAGGAGTGCTACAAAACTGATGATCCAATGGAGCCAGGGGTTGGATGCAAAAATCAAGATGGCCCAGTAACTGATCAGACATAGCAATATTTTGGCAGACACCGATTATTAACTGAGTTTATGTAGGATTAATTTTCCAGAAGCACTCAGACTAGACCTGATGAGTCAGTTGTGAGGCATCTGAAATGGCAACATGCCCATCCAGGCAGTTTGACGTTTAAAGCAACATTAACCTGCAGGTTATCATGGGTTGGGAATTTCTGCTGCTGAATGAAAAGGCTGGAAATGGAACTAATGCATCAAAGTTCAGACAATCAACCCTTCTGTTAGAAACTCTGATAAGCATCCCAAATGAAAACAAAGGAACAGAGAGTCGAGGGAGGGGAGAAGCTAGCAAGCATTTTTCACTTTCCTCATCATCCAGCCTAAAAAACAAAGCCCCTCTACATTTTGCCCTTCTGTGTCACTGCTACAAGCAGAAACTTTAAAAGACCTATTTGAAATTCCTTTTTCCCCAATAGGAACTGGTGTTCTGTCACACAGTCTCGTCTGGTGACATACATTGAGGCCTGCATGAAGGAGAAATACATTGTCAACTCCCAGCAGCCCTGCCCAAACGGAGCTCCAGATTGCCAGAAGATCATGTAAGTACCCCAGATGAAACCACTAGAGACAACGAGATATTCTCTGAGGTATCTGAATCAGATTTTCAGAACTACTGATCGGCACATTTTGAAAATAAATTAAGCACCAACTTAATTTAATACCAAGGTGAGGTAGTGTCTGATTTATGTACCTATCATGATAAGGCATTTAAATAACCTGGGATAATTATTGCCTTTAAAAACCATCAAGTGTAGGACTACAAGGGGATTAAGTGATTTTTCTAATCTACCCACGTTAATTTAGGGAAAAAAAAAAAAAGCAATCACATCTTTTTCACAATTTTCAGGTTCCTAATACACACACAACTTAAAAATGACAACAAAACACCAAAGAGCTCTGCCTGTGACCATCAGTAAGACTTATTCGTAGTTACAGATACACAACTGCCCAAAGGATTATTGTTATTTCAGAAGGACTGGCTGCCCAAAGAGCACAGGTGAAAGCCTATGGGACAGGTCTATAATAGTAAATATTAGAGTTCTGTTTGTGATAATTATGGATGTTTGCCAGCTGTAACATCTCTTTGAGACTCCTGTCAGATTACTGCAACGTGTTGGACAAAAATCCCCACAGGACAACAAACAGGAGGAAGGTGAGGTAGACCAATGCAGACTGCTAACTGAACAGTACTTACATTCTGCCAGCATGTATGAATTTGCACACACCTCCTGTTGCAAATAGTTCTGAAAACCAATCTTATGCAGAAAATAATATTGCTGTCAACTGCTGCTAACTGTTTTAGTGAGCAGCAGTGATAAATTTACAACAAACTTTTAAACCACATTCTGCATTAGTTATCTAGGACACCACTGGCACCAGCATACAGTTAGTCAGTGGATTTGCCCCACGTGATGCCAGCTGACCATAACTTGGAAACTAACACCTGGACCCTGCTCCTCAGGTACAGGACAGCCCTGAAGCCAGTCTATCAAGTGAAACAGAAGGTTCTGAAGTCTTTGCAGTGGAAGTGCTGCCCTGGATTTATTGGGAAGGATTGTGAACAACGCGGTAAGGAAAGCCAGAGAGCATGCATAGGAATTAAGACTAAACCACATTCATTGTGGCAAAAAACAGCTTACCTATTTGTTCCTCTGGTTTGGGAATTGATGCTTTATTTTCTTTGGCATGCTATGCCCCAAATCGCCTTGCAACAGGAAGGAGGTGTAATTAGCCTTAAACAAGGCTAACAGCAACAACACTTTCCACTAATCATCACACTTGGAGAGAAGCATTCATTTACCAGGGGAGCTGACACATGTAAAACTCCACCTATGAAGTCTCCATCTCTGCCTAAATGCAAATAGAAAGTAATGATAAGAGAAAGTAACACCAGCATGCGATATATCAAAAAATTTGTTTAGAGGATGAAGTAATTGTGGGGGGAAATTGCCAAGCATCCAGTTTAAAGCAAGCCTTTCTGTGCCATGAACCACCACCACAGCTCCCTGTACTGCTGAATATTGATTGCAGCAGCTGCTAAATAAAAGGGGGGTGAGGGGGCAGGGGAGGAACAGCATGGTTTAAAAAGTGCAATGCTTCACAGCACTCAGAAGATTTAACAAAATGCTTTATTCAAAAGTGGACGAATTTATATTGAAATAAAAAGATAATTCTCTGTAGTAATTAAGGCATTAAACAAAGAAGTCAAACATTCAGGTGAAAATCTTGGTCCATTTCACCTACCCTAATTGGTGAAAAGTTTGCTCCTCAGAAAAGTTTGGAGTTCCTGTTTATATCTCTATTGGTTTAGGTTTAGGTTTTTTGTGCAGATAGCTCCTCTCAGTTCTTATCTCTAAGGTAATTTATCAGTCTGGCTTCTATTTAGGAGGTTAGAAGGCTATTACCAAATACAGTGTGTTTTGCTTAGTCTCTACTCAGTTATGCTCACAGACCAAAACCAATCGCTTCATTTTTATCTCTCCACTGGTACAGCACCACCAACTGTAGCTGGTGCTGCAATAGCAGAACATTCATGTAACTGGAACAGGAAAGAGGAATTTGCAGAACTTTTGAAAGGACTCTCCAGAGAAAAGCATCTATTTGTAACAGACTAACTTCTTATGATCAGTAACTCTGTATGAATTTTAAAACCCCATCCCTACTGCACAGCATCATCATTTACAAGGTGTTGCATTTTGGTGCAGTGCCACAAGTGAAATTCTCCCAGCACAACGTTCCTTATCCTAGGATTCTTCCTGCTCTGCAGAAGCCAATCTCCACATCTGTCACATTGCAAGTGAAACTGCACATTCTTGCCTTACTGAACTGCATTAGTCTCTGCATCTAAAGTATTCTCACAGATGTATCACATCTCAATTGCAGATCCTAATGTCATTACAGCACCAAGAAGTCAAACCGAAGGACGGCAAGAAGAAGAGTCCTCAAACCACAGTATGTTCTTGAACTTCCATTGCTTGCCATTCTCTTACATCTCAAGTCACCGCCCTGAGCAAAAGCTAGATTTTCAGTTGCTCCTTTAACGTGATAAACTATGGATAATATCTTTAGTGAAAGCATTGCTTGGGAAAGTTTTTACACAACTATGTATCATTCACTGCCATTTATACGTGTTTTTTGCTATAAAATTATATGAATGTTCTTGAGAAAACAGCCAAAAGTTTCACAGTAGTAAGCTGGCTGATCATCACTTAAACCTAGTGAGAATGGCAGCTGGTGTTAAACCCTTTGTTAGTGTGGATGTTTAACTCCTTGTTCTGCTCAGTGGATTCATAGGAAAGCACTTCAGATGACTTACCAGGAAAAAAATCTATTCCAAATGCCATTTTAGAGCCTCTACTAGTAGCTTTGAGAATATTGTTATGATTCTTATCTCATCTTGCCAATCTAATATCCAAGAAGAACCTTTCCTCATTATATGGCAAATGGTGAGGCTTGTAGTGCTATTAAATATCTTCCAGCAACTGGGTTTAGGATAGCATTACAGCCCTGAAAGAGAGTCTTCCTTACACTATGCTCTCAGCACTGAATGAATAAACAGTTGCTTTAGAAGACTCAAGTTTATAAAACATTAGCTTGAAAAGTCAATTGTAATCCTGGAAGGGAAGAGGTCCCAGGGATGGCACAGTTAAGACACACCGGTTCCTGCAACTCAACATACACTTTTAATTCTTCAGCTCAAGTTAGCAGGTATTTATTTAGAGTAATATAAGTTAAAGGGTTCCTCTGTGAGAGCCAGCGGTGACACTTACCCCTTATGCTCTTGAATCTTTTGTGAAACACCTTCGTTGCTCCTTCATCCTGTCCTTTTATTCTGGGTTATAAAGCTTAGCTATCCTTCCTGTCAATTGGCTTGAAAGCAATTATTATTTCAGAATGTTTTTATGGCATGGGGAGGTATTAAATGAAGAATATTTTACCACCATCGTGGCTACCATGGTTGAAGGTCTTGTGTTAATATTTAAATAAATTTTCCATTGCTGCTGAAAAAAAAGTTTGCAAGTAAACTGTCGTTAAGCTGCTATAAATCAACAGATCCCTAAATGTCATTGCAAGGTTTCCAGAGGAAAAAAAATACACTGGTGTTCTCAGAGGTCACAGGTCTTGTAGGAATACGTGTTGCTGCAACGTCATGGCATGACACTTTCTTTTTGAATCTTGTGATTAGTGTCAACACCAGTGGATTCAAGAGAGCTGTTGGAAGTCATTCAAAATCAGGAGGCATTACTGGATGATCTTCAAAGTGATATTCATCAAGCAGTCAGCAACTTAGGTGATTTACAGCGAATATTTGAAAACAACGGTACAAGCATGGTCTTAGAAGTGAACCAGAGTAATGAAGGTGAGAGGTCTGATGTAGAATTATCACCCTGTCAACAGGCCCTGTAAGACCATGCAGATCAGGAGGAGAGCCTGAGAGCCAGAATGCACTCTAATATCCCCTGGTCTGCAGGTTGCTTCCAAAGAGAGAAGAAAATGGGTGCAATTCCAATACAAAGTAATGAATTAAATCCAAGCAGAAGTCAAAATGTGAAATTAAATTAAAGGCAGATTCCTTCATACTCTTCAGAAATTTTAGAATCTGCATTAACCACAGAATGAAGAGATTGCTTACACTAATTCGTTAGCTTACTATTCTGCTTCCATGCATTCTTTTCTACGAGGATGCTGAGTTTAGATGTATTTTTTCTTCTTCTTTTCAGACTCCTAGCCCAATGTGCTGAATCTCAGATTGGTATACATAGTAAAAATACAACATGTGCCCATTTATCTGAAACATTATTCCTGCTTTATATTGCAGTGGAAACTTTGGTCTGAATAGTACTGAATTTGAACTACTAATCTGAACCACTGACTTAGAGAAAGGTCTTCTAGTGATACAGTCTGAACTTCAAGTCACTCAGTTCATATGCTCAAGTTCAAAATCAAGCCTTAGTCTAAGTCACACTAGTACAGACTCCTCATAGATTTTTCAAGTTATAGAGTCTTTGCCTAGGATATGCAGGTGCTAAGATGCCGTGTAACTTTGTGAAGCATTAGGGACATCATAGAAAGCATCAGACAAATAATGGTATGAGAAAATTGCATAAGCAGGAGCACATCAGATAAGAAATTGTGAAAATGAGCAGTTACAACCATTAATAAAACTGCTCTAGAAGCATCTAAAAATGCAGTATTTCTCTGACTTAAACGGGGCAATCAATACATATCTAAGTTGCAGTCTGCAAACAGAAACACAGCACGTTTTGCCAATTTAAATAAGGTTATTTTTGCTGTTACAAATAATTCAGCATATGCTTAGATTTTGAGAATTAAGATGGCAGTTACTGAAGAAAAATACATCCTTGAGTTACCCTGGTCAGGTTAAGATGCTTTCTTAAAACATAATAATTATTATTAACTTTGTTTTAACAGATTTTCAGGAAAGGCTTCTGCGGCAATTTTTGTTTCCCCACATGGAGAATTTTCTAAGGAAACATTTGAACCCAATGTGGGCGAGCTTCAACAGAAGCTTACAGAATCTCTCCAACATAGTAAGAAACCTGTCCCACGATGTGGAAACCAACAAGAAAAGCATAGAAAGATTCCAAGAGAGCACAGTGCCTAAAAAAGAGTTCCAGGAGCTGGGAACTAAGTTCGAATCTAAAGTCCAGGAAAATGTAGTGAAAGTTGATCAAATAAGAAGAGAGATAGAGAATCAATTGCAAATGCAGCAGGCTAGTATTGAGCATAACCTCACCATAATTAGGGCAGATACTGACACAAGGCTGAAGAAGCATCACAAGATACAGCAGTCCCATCACTTAGCTTTGAACAACAACATGACAAATATGAAACACGAGCAAAACAATCTCGAAAATAAATTTGAGACTTTGAAAAAAAATTTAACAGAACTCTCCTCGCATCACAGTCCCAAAGATGAAACTACACAGTTAGCCATCAGACAAATAAACGACATGCTGGCAGGGCATGCAAAACAGCTTAAAGACCTCTACATGGAGTCAGATGTGGCCTTTCAGAATATTGCAGTTCTAGAGAGATGGTTTAAGGAGTTGAAAAAAAATATCTCAAAGTATAGGCCTGAAGATGTTTCAATAACTTTAATGGAGAAATCAGTTCTTATTGAAGAAAATAAAGCAGCAATGGAAAGGCAGATATCAGAGATGAATGATACTCTCTCAAATCTTCAGGAAAACTATTCAGATCTGTTGAGATATATGGAGGAATGTAATTGCCAGAAGATACCTTCTGACACCAATATACTTGAGGAAGATTTAAAGAACATCACTTATTCCCTTGAGGGCCAACAATCAAAGGACATGAAGCAGTTAGAATCTGTTTTCAAAGACCTCTTGAGGAATGAAATGGAAGAGCTCTCCTCAGCCTTTCCATTTATCCATCAGTCCCTTAACCTGCGTCAAGAAGAAAACAGACAGCTTCAGTTGCAAGTTGCATCTTTTTCAGAAGACATAGGCCTCTTGAAGAAGAAAGATGAAGAAATTCATAGACACATCAAGTACCTCAACAGTTCTTTCGGCTCACTTTTAGAAGATGCCATGCGGCACGAAGCTGCACTGGAGGCTTTACTGGGAGAAGAGTTTATGGAAGTCCTATTTGAGGAAGATCCCAGTACCCTAATATCATCAGTAGTTCAGCTGCAGGAATTTCTGAAAGAGATCTCAAATAAACTCCAAAACCAAAATATGACTTTAGAATCTCTTGTAAAGAGATTCCATCGCTTGGAGAGAGGACAACAGAATAATCACAGTGTTCATGCATCTTCAAAGCGTCCCAAACAGGAAACTCAGACACACTCTGTACTGGATGAAGCTAATCAGCTCAGCAGTGTAGAACATATGGAACCTAATTATGAGGCTTCCAAAGATGACTCCTTGCACAGCTCAATGTATAATGACATAATGACTCTGAAGAATGACATCAAATATCTGAGTCTGGCAATCAAGAGGCACGAATCCAGAAATGACATGAGTATCTGCTGCAATCATACAATTGCAAATGTAGTAGAACCACTTAACACTTCTGTGGAAATTATCTCAGGAGATTTAGAAAAAATTGAAGAGAAGCTGGAAAAACATCTGCTGATTTTCAAAAAGCTGTTTGGAAGCGATGAAGGATTACTTGCCTCAAATATAAGTCTGGATGTTGCAAAGATTCAGTCAATGCTTACCAGAAAAGTGAGAAGGCAAGAGAAAGGCCAAGACAAGCAAAGAGACAAAAAAAAGCCTGAGAAGCCGAGAGAAAATACACAGATAGTAAGTGGAAGAAATAGAGTGCAGACTGAACTGCTGGAAAAAGGTAGGTTCTTTTATCTTACTTGCTCACGTGCAGGTCTAGCTTCTCTCTGGGCCCTGCTGCAAGTCACTCCCAGTCCCTCAAAAGCATATAAATTGCAACCTGCCAGATATCCTGTGGGATGTTTAAGAGAGGTATTTTGATATCTCTGCTCTTCCATCTAAATAAACTGTTTGATTGAGAACCAAGTCAATACAGTGGTACACTTTTGCTCAAAGCCAGGGGAAAAAAAATAAACACACCCATTATAGCTACTGTGTAACTGGCCTTGAATTAATTCAACTTAGAACCCAAATTTTGTTTGTAGATGCTCATGTTTATCGAATGAACTCTTAAAACGCTGATGGGGAACACTGGGCCTCATGGTTTGCTGCTTCTTTCTCAGTTATTTCAGTCCATAAGGGGTATACTCAAAGCATCAAATCCTCATCAGTCTGGACAGATACATTAAATTAACTGCAATAACTTGTGTAAGCAGAACAGGGAGAACTGCCCGGAGTGCAATCTCTCTCTTAGAGTTAAGGTAGGTTTTTGGCTTATACTGCACTGATGTATCAGTGTGCCAAAAGCACCACGTAATTACAAGTGCCACAGTTCTACCACTGGCTTTTATGATTCAGCCTTTGCTATGGACACATAACACAGAACAAAAATCAGCCCCTTTAGGCAACTGTGCTGCAAAACTGTAGTTAAGAATGAATAAGCAAAGAACATATTTCAAATTGCTTTCAGGACAGCAAAAAGAGTGCAATTTTTTCTCTCCTGGTTGGTCTCACCCTTATGCCTTTCTAAGGATCCTGATCTAATCTCTTTATCTTCCCACACAACAGAATGCAGTTCTAGAGAGCTTACAATAACTTTAAAGGAAAAATCACTGAGCCTTGTGTTTTGCTGTGATATCTGCCTAGTCTTTATAATCAGTTGTTTCGTCACTACCTCAATCTACATTTCTTTTCCCTCAGCTATTTCTGGCCTTTATTTTAAAAACAAGAACAAAAACCTGCAGTTGAACTACTATTGACTTTGCTTCTTTCCCAAGAATAAGATGCCTTAAGTGCCAGCAAAACAGAAGTATTTTCTAAAGCATGTTTATCTTTCTACTAAGAATCTTGAAGTAAAAATATTACTTGAAAAAAAATAAAAATAAAAGGGGAACATTCTTTAATAGAAAAACAAAAGCCTATTCATGTCATCGGATCACACTGAATGAATCTTTTCCTTGGTTAAGGACTTTTTATTTGTGCTTGACTACTTCTCTAAAAAACAGAACTGCAAGAGAACTTTCCAACAAATTTGAAAACACATGAAAACAGATCACAACTACAAACTACTGGAAATACGCAAACAGAAGTCCTAACAAAATTTTCAGTCCTAGAAGTTCAAATGAACATGGCATTTCTTTTTAGTAATGAGAGTGGTTGTTAGAAGTAATTGGTAAAGCTTATCCATCTGTATCAACGACCGTGAGGCTGAAACAGGAATGCTCCCACCTTTTGCACCCTATCCTAGCAGCTGAGGTAAGCAGGCTTTCGGGGACTGCAGTGCAGTGCTCTCACACTTTAGAGAAAGACCCCAGTCTCTTATCAAGACTGGAAGTAACCCAACTGGCTTTCTGTAAACCACAGCATTTCATGGCCTTGTCTGCTTATAAGCTCCCAACAAAGCAAGTTTTCTGCCAAAGTTTCTCTGTGCCTGTTCTGGGCACTTTCAATCTCTCAGTGTATGTAATTTGAGAGTAGGCATCAGAACAGTTTCAGGTAGTTAACTAAGTGCCTCATAGGTGCATGTGTCTTTACAAACTCCCTTCTTCTGTTAACAGCTCTGGGCAAGAAGGACTAGGAAAGAAGAGCTCCCATACCCAAAAAGCATTTGATGTTTTCAGGGTTTTTTTCTTCGCCTTACGTGAAGTGATCTAGTTTTATATCTTCCTGACCTTGCATTTTTGATAGTTGCATAAACAAGTACCACTGTTCTTGTCTGAAAGAGGAAAGGTGTTCACAGATAATGTTTCCAAAATACTTTATCTGGAACTATGAATCGGCTGCACAGCCTCTAATAAAATGAAAGTTTCCATCATGACTTAGGCTCCTGAGCAAATAAAAAGCAATAGCTGGGAAGAGGAATGCTCGTTGTTAAAATACTGTTTTTCTCTCTTTTTCAGACTCATCAGTAGCATTCCATGTGGGATTCTCAGACAGAAAGGATAAAGAAAAAGCTCTGAAATTTAACGAAACATACCTCAATTATGGAAGCAGCTATTTTCCTGAACATGGCTACTTTAAAGCACCGCACAAAGGCGTCTACCTGTTTGTCATCTCTGTGGAGTTTAGTTCAGGACCAGCACTGGGACAGCTCTCTTTTAGCCGTGGGTACAAAAGAACTCTCTCAAGTAGTCAGAGGAAGACACCAGATGGAAATACCGTAACTTCTTTTGCTATGGCAGAAATGGAAAAGGGAGAGAAAGTGTGCTTTGAATTGCTGCAGGGCACTGTCAAGAAACGAAGTCCACCTGGGACAACAATGAGTGGATTCCTACTATTTAAAACTTGAACAGTAACACTGTGTTTTACTGATATTTTTTCCATAGATGCAATGGATCAATTCACTATTGCTTCATCTGTGATGTATTCAATCCTACTGCATGTGTTTAAACATAGCACTACTCTAGGTTTGTCTTCATGCTTCTTTTCTGGAAGTGTTTGGCTTTTGATTAGTTGCTAATGAGCAGCAGTGTGATTTTCAAGTGATGACCTAATGGTTTGGATTCCAAACATATCAATGCACATTCTCAATTCCTTCCACAGGGAGAACTGCACCTAATCAGAACAGATGCTTTGCGGGGCTTTCTTCACTTAAAACTCATTTCTTTTTTTCTCCTTTCTCATGAGACCCCATCTGGAGCACTGCATTCAGCTCTGGGAACCCTCACATAAGGAAGACGGGTATCTTGCAGCATGTCCAGAAGAGGGTCACAGAGATGATCAGAGGGCTGGAGCACCTCTCGTATGAAAAAGGCTGAGAGAAATGGGGTTGAAGAGAAGGCTCTAGGGAGATGTCATAGCCATATTCCAGTATCTAAAGGAGGCCTACAGGAAATCCACAGAGGGACTCTTTATGAAGGGGTACAGTGGCAGGACAAGGAGTAACAGCTTTAAACTAAAAGAAGATAGATGTAAACAACAGGAAGAGATCGTTTACTCAGGGAGTAGTTAGGTGCTGGAACAGATTGCCAGGAGAATCTGTAGACGCCCCATCCCTGGCAGTGAGGCTGGATGGGGCTTTGGGCAATCTGGTCTAGTATTTGGCAACCCTGTCCACAACAGGGGGTTTGGAACTAGATGATCTTTAAGGTCCCTTCCAACTCAAACCATTCTAGGATTCTATGAAAAAAGAACCCCTCCTGTGGCAGATGTCCCCATCACCGTCAAGGAAAAACATTTCAGACTATATATTAGCAGTGATATTTTTTTTTAAGTGGTTGCTCAAAAGCAAGAAGCCAAGACAATTTTACTTCTCTGTTCTCTGTGGACCAGGCAGACTGTCTTGAAAACTTCTACAATTCACTCTAACTCCACATTTCAGTCTGTATGTAACACAAACACTAGGAAAAAAAAAAAAAAAAAAATCAATCAAATCCAATAAGATGCACCCTGTACAGCCTTTGTAAGCAAGGATCGTAGAAGTGGCTGAGCCTCCCTCCTCCTAGACCTGGTATATTTCAACAACACTGCAGAACTTAATAGTAACATAACACTGTTAGGATGTGTTAGATATACATACATTCCTAATGTAGACATGAGGAATATGTCAACAATAGCAAAAAAAATATTGCTGAAATATAGTTTATTTCTAAGGATATTCCTGTCATGAATACAGCCCAGACAGCCCAACGTTTAGTTTAAAATCAAGTGAGTGAGCAAACTCATATCAGCAAGTAGACAAGCTCACTGGCCTAATGTCATGGTTGAATATAAAATAAATTTATAATTAGAAAAAAGCAAAGAGCAGGATTTCTGAACAGTGGACGTCGGAGCTTCAGGAAAAAACAAAACAAACAAACAAACAAAAAAACAACCAAAACCACAAAAACTCAGAATGGCCACATCCTGAATTTTTCCTGTCAAATGAAGCATCCCCAAAGTTGTTCATTTTGAAGTTCTGTTATTCTTTGTTTTCCCTAACACAACTTAGAAAACTATATAAAAACAATTCCATTTGGCAAAATGAAATGCATTTTAAAATTCCCAATGCTTTTGATGAAAGAGATGAATTCCTAAGATGTATTTTATGCCCTTTAAAATAGTGCTTTCTGACAGAAAAATTTCTGTCAAGAATTTTTCTCCCCACCTATTTGTATTCTGAATGACACTACACTGCAAGATAATTAAAAAGCATTGGTACCAATACACGCTACACTCAAGACAACAGTTTGGCAAGTATCTTTTGAGACTACAAAGTGGTTTTAGTTGCTGACTCGCTGATAAGATTGTTACTTTCCTTCTGGACAGGCAACAACGCAAATAGGTTCTAAAACTAGTATAATTAAATGCCTTCTACTGATTCAGAAACAAAAAGCCACAGACACAGATTAAGACACAGAATTCAGCATCTCTGGAAAGAGAAAATGCCACTTCTGACCTAATTAGCAGGTTATGTCCTCCTGCCTACTTCTAGCCAGTAGTCCCATTCACATGAGACTAACTGGACAAGTCTCCCCATCCATCTAGTACAGAGTCAGTCCTTGCACTGCTCTGCAGGAAGCAGCATTGGATGCCCAGGAGCTCAGTCAACTTCTGCCCCCGACTGCCAAAATATCTGAGGAAGGAAGAGAAGAAAAATGGCAACAGGCAAAATGTCAAAAAAAGGAATAAAACCATCAATTTGTAAGATTGGGTTCTATTAGTAAAATCTATCACAAGGAGGTGACCCAGACATTTTTTGACATTTTATTGTACCAGTGGCCCAGCTATGGGCTATTGCACTGGCAGCATTCTGCAGTGCAAACAGTGCTGTCTAGGTCAGGAGAGAGTAAGGAGCAGTGCACACTAATCCTGCAGGTACAACCAAGTGCTATAGTTAAATACATCGAGACAATATGTATTTGTATGTTTTCAAATAGACTTGCTGGCTCTTAAGGCTTTGACAGAAAACTTCAATTGGAATGACAAGTACACAGCTACTTGGAAAGAGGCAAGGTAGGTAGTAGCTCAGCAGAGAACAGAGAAAGGCCTGTACATGTGATCTCCAACCCTAGCAGTTCTCCCAAGTGGGATTTTTAAAAGTTCGGTACTGCCATGCTTAACAGAGTTATTTTTGTTGAAGAATTAGGCAGACAAATTCAGAGCTCGACTCCAGAGTGAATATAGTGTTAATATAAAGACATTTTCACATTCGTATTCTTTCAATATGTTAAGTTAACCACCTGCATACACAAAGAAGGGAAACTGACTGGAAAACTCGTTTTAACATTCTGAAGTAAAAACTTTAGGAAGGAAAATTGATTCAAGCACTCTATTGGCAGAATAAGCCAGGAGGTTTGTCTTCCTTCCTCAGTGATGAGGTTTTGTTATTTGCTTCGTTTTTGCTTTAAATACACACCTATTAAGCACTATCACCAACATGACTCTCATGTTTAAAAAATACCTCCCAGCTTCTCTTAGCACTCCCTGAAAAACCTGTAGAAAACCATCCAAAAAATTTTGCCAGTAGTCCAAATCTGCAAATCAAACCCCAAAGCTATAAAAATATTAAAACAAAAACCCCATGCCCTGTATCTTTCAACATCTTTGCTAAATTGTTTTGCTACTGATCTTGACCTGCTTTATGAACGTACCTTACAGTGCTTTGCATTTTAAAATTAAAGTTAATTTTTTCCTCATTACTATGAGATGAGCTCCTTACTTCACTCACAATTCAAGCACTCATTGTGTATCAACTTTCTGTTTTGTGTATTAATTTTCTATTTTATTATCTCTCTGTGGTTGATTTCACCAAATCCCGCAGTCAGATTCGTCTGAGCCCATTTCACATGCCCACATCCTGCCTCTGAAGTCCACAGTGGTCACCCCTCAAGAACCAGTTTCATAGGGTTGATCCACTCACATTAGTGGGCCTCTCAGGAATCTGATTCATGCCTAGTATTGAAAGACTTCTTACTCCTTTAACATCTGAGACAGACCGAAATAGTGGTTTGGGGAACAGTGAAGATAAAGCCAGGGAAAGGATTAATGGAATTTATGGAATTGAAATCACTGATACTTCTGCTTTTATTTCATTATTCATTTCAGAAATCACTAAGTATGCTTTTACTATTTTATATGCTTTTTGACCTTCAAACAAAATGTAACTGAGAAGGTGTTGGAGATGCTGCTGGACGTGGCTTTCAGTTCTTAAGTACTGATGTGAGTGTATTGGTGAAAAAACTTAATATGAAGGTGAAAAACAATTACACATCAACTACACGATTTTGGTATTTATTGCTAGTAGGCAGTAGAACTCATTTTCAACCATCAAAACCCCCACGATGTTTAAAAGGATTTTCATATCTTTGCGATACACCGCCATCATGTGGCCGTTTCTAGGAGCAACGTTAGGTCGCTTGGTCCAAAAAAACACCCAAACCACTGGTGCAAAATTTCAACTACTCAGTGTTTTCATTATGTCCTCCTGTGATGCAAATATAAGAAATCCCACAGTCTGCATCCCAGCCATGGTAAGCCCAATCAGTGAATACATTCTGTCAGCTACAGCCATAATCATGACAGAAAATTTACTCTTGCAAGATACTAACAGTAAGAAGAGCAAATCTGGCTCTGTAAATTACTGGTATTATGTGCAAAAAAAAAGGTTTGAAACCAGATAAAAAATATTCTACAAATCTAACACGTGAATTTATCACTTCGAAGAAAAAAAGTTTTTTTACAATATACTGGTTAACTGTTTTTGTAATGCTCAGACATGAAACCCTTATACACATTGTAAAAAGCTATCTCTAAAGCAAAATTCTTCCTGGTCAAAACATACCTTTACGTAGACAAAATGATTCAAAATTGACCTTACTTTTTCTTCCTTGCAAACTGAAACTGAACTGTCTGCAGTTTAGTAGCTGGCACATTTCTGCAATGAGAAAAACATTCTCAGATTTTAGACAACTGTCTACTCAAAGCCAAGTATCCCCTGGATTGTTTTTCATTTACTTGAACCATAAAACATCATAAACTTAGGTTGTATAGAAACACCTGCATAATTTTGTAACCAACAGCAGAGAAGCATATTAGCTTAAATTTCATGATTTGGACACTACTACTACACACACACACACACACACACACACACACACACACACACACACAAAGAGCCAACAAAAGAACCCCTCATCCATTTCTTTTTCCCTTTTTCAGTTGGCTTGACCCACTGAGGTAAATTTATATAGATAAAATCAGCAGGTAGTCAACTCGCACATGTTCAAAGAGTTATTCAACTCTGATTTGCTTTTGGTTTCACTATAAGCAGAGTAAAAAAAAAAAAAAAAAATCAGACAAAAGAAGCTCTGGTTTTATCATTGTGCTCAACTTAAGACCAAGAAGCAGAGGACTATAAAGCATCAAGTAATTCATGATTCCACTGAGCAATCAAAGTTGCCATTCACGACTTATTCAAGGGCTGCAGAAAAAAACACAA